GTCCTCCCGGACGGACGCTCGGGACCCAGTTCGGGAAGGGTCGCCTGGGCCCGGGAGCGCGTGCGGTGGGGTGAACGGCCGGCCGGCCCTGCTCTCGCGCTCTCTCTCCCTTGCCTCTTGCCTTCTTCCTGCAACCAGTCTTGGAATCCTGTGTCGGCCTCAAAGTATCTCGGATAAATAAATACATAGCAGACTGTTGCTCTTAAAAAAAAAAAAACGACACTAAAATAAAAGGAAACATTCCCAAGTGCGTTGTATGAGTCAAATCCCTCCTGGGGCTGCCTCCTTTACACTTACAGTTAAAACTCTCAAGAGTGTAGAAATTTCTTTTCCCGTGCTGGGGATTGTACCCAGGGCAAATGCTCTACTGAGTTACACTCCCAGCCCACAAGCGCTAGAATTTTTATTTCCAATTGAGTCACTTGTTTTTATTGCCTTTTTTTCAGTCCACGTCCCTTTTTTATGTGTGCATTTAATTTTAGAGGCTTGTGGAGACTCTGTGCATGGAAAATGCATATATTGGTTGTGTTCTGGGTTTACTACCCCAAGTTAAATCTATAGATTTAACACAGTTCCAATCAGGCACCTGTAAAACAGTGATTGTAACAGTTAAGTTGGAGAAGTGACTTAGATGCTGAAATGAATAAACAAATTGTTACAGACAATAAAGGAAAAATTTAGACAATTTTATCAACATGAGCAGACCCTATGTTGGGTGAAAAGGTTAAAGGTTGAATAAGATAAGCAATGCTATCCCATTTGTACAGATTAGAAACACATGGAATATATAACTAGGATTCCTGGTGTGTGTTTGGGAAAGAGGCAGGGAGAATCCAAACAAGCATGTGTGTGCACGAGTGTATGTGTGCATGCACACACGTGTGATTCACCGGCAGGAGGAAGTCAGCAGACGGAGATGCTCAAGCCCTGAACTAGAAGTCACGTAAAGTTAGGCTTCAGTCCTAACTCATTTACTAAACTGGATGACCTCAGGCAAAAAGCAACGCTTGCTAAAACCATCCTCCAGCTTTCCAAATGTCTGCATGCTCACTCAAGTCTTCTCCAGATCCAAATGAAATTCTGAATATCGAGGTTTCTTTTATACACTGCGAAGTCCTAAAGAAGCTGATGATATAACTGCCGGCCAACCTTCGCCAGGGCCCACCTGTGCAGTTACCGAGGGCCGGGAGGCAGGTGAGCTCGGAGGTAGGCAGAGCACACTTGACCCCAGTAAGTTACCGCCCAGTCCCTTCGCCCAGCGGCGGGTCCCGGGACGGCCAGGAAGTTGCCCAGGCTGTCGAAGTGAGGCAAGGGGTGGGAAGGATGGAGAGCAAGTGGGATGGACAGAAAGGAGATCCAAGAATTTCCGACCCTTCCCATAACTTTCTCTCCCTAGAGGTTCCCGGAACATCCTGGGAATGGAAAGGTGGCAGCCTGGGAAGTGGGGACGACCCAACGTGCCTAAAACAGGGGGAAGGAAGAGAAAAAGGAGCAGCGGAGAGCTGGGGCAGTGCTACTTCTCTGCTCCCTCGGAAGAGGGGCCGGCCCGCGCTAACGAACCTCTTCCCTAATTCTCCGCGCCGGCCTGGGCTGCCCCAGCGGGGGGTCCTTTCTAACAAGGTGCCCCCGGGCCCTGCCCCTCCCTCCCCAGGAGTTGAAGCTGCCAAAGGTTCCAGGAATATAATGGATCATTTTCCAATTTACCAGGGTCTTAGAGATTACGCCGCTAATCCCATCAAAGACCATCTGCTTACATTGTCCCTCCAGAGCCAAAATAAATAGATCCTTTACTCCCCCGGCTTCAACCCCTCAAGGGTATTGTAGCAGGAGAAAGTTCGACAAGGCCCAGCCCATTTCCCCCTCCCTCCTGCTGCGGGCTGGACAGAAAGGGAGAAAACAAACTTAGCTTGTCTGAGGTGTGAAAGGTCACTTACGTTCCTGACCCGCATTCTTCTCCCGAGCCCGCCGCGCTGGGAATTGGGGAGAGGGGAGGGCCAGGGCCCCCGGGTCTGGGGATCAGCCCCCCGCCCCGTGGAGGTGCGGACAAGCTGTTCAGCACCCCTCTGTCCCGCTGTCCCTGCCCTGGGGCCACCTTAGCCCCAGACCATTTTTGGTCTCTTTCTAGTCTTTTTTAGCTTCTCCCACCTGTGACTCTTGGGAAGGAATTTTTGAAATCAAACTTTCCTCCTCCCTTGGCTGATCTGTGGGAAAAAGGACACAAAAATCCACATAAACACTAATTGGATTTCATCTAGAAGTCATGTATTCTACGGGCGTTCACCCTCGTTCCCTTGTTACTACTCCGTGGCTGTGAAAAGGGGCTTCAAAATGGGGAAGAAAAATAAAAGAGGAGGTGCCGGGTGGAGGTGTCTGCTGCTCCCCGGCTTCTTCTTAGGGAGTGAAAGGTGGCATTTGAGCAGACACAGAGGAGGTGAGAGTTATTTCGGAAGAAACAAGGGAGGGATTGTGCACAGCAGCCTCTGTCCTGCGACCCTCATTGTTGGCTGTTTTCTCCTCTCCCTCCTCCTCCTCCTCCTCCTCATTTCTCTCCTCCTTCTGTTCCTCCTCTCCTCCCTCCCCATCCTCTTTAGGCTCCTCTTCTGTCTTTCTGGCAGCTGGAGTCGAGGAACTCAGGGAATTATGCAGGTTGCGCCCAGCTTGGCGGCTTTCTAACCTGCTCAGGAATCTACAGGGACGCGGGCATCTGTGAGTCAGTGTCGTCCTTCTCAGGACGGTCTGCAGAGACGGGTGTCTGCCCTAGACACAACTGGACCCCTGAAGGGACCGTGTCTGGCTTTCGGGAGACAGCACAGGATGACAGAAAGGGCCCAAGCTCCCCCCCAGTCTCGGTGTGACCCCCACAGCTCCGGGATCCTGGGTGTCCCCAGCCACTGGTCTCCTTCTCAGAGAGTGTGCCCAGCTCATAGGAGTGCTGTGAACGGAATGAGTGAGCTCACAGCCCCTGGCACCACAGGCAAAGCACATGCGAGACAGAGCTGGGAACAGGCCCGAATCGCATCATGGGCTAGGATTTGCTCGAGAATTTAACAGAGCTGTGTAAAGCATTGCACTGGGAGACAAAATATGAATTTCCTCGTTAGCAGATTTGTTCATCTGACAAATGTTTCCTGAATACCCTTACAAGGTATAGGCCAGGAATGATGGTGCACACCTGTAATCTCAGCATGTGGAAGGCTGAGACAGGAGGCTCGCAAGTTTGAGGCCAGCTGGGC